ATCGACCAGGGGCGCGGTTTCCGTATGGTCAGAATGGGAGCTGCCTGGGACTCCGGCTAGGCCAGAAAAGTCATTCTGACCCTGACCAGAAAATGTCGGCTCCGTTTTTTCCAAGCTGATGCTCTGAACGAAATTCATTGGTCCAGTAACACGGGTAACAGAAAACATGCCATTTCGTCATGAGTTTATGGTGCTGTACGAGCTAATCCGTCACAAGCATTGATCTAAGAGTTGCACTGGTGAGACATCATGTCCGCGATACATAACACGCATACGAGTTATTCTCGTGAAACGTTTGAAAGCATCACTTCGCTGTGCGCGGCTGTTTTTGCTCCCCCGTTGAATGCCGCCAGGTGTTAGCTGCGAAGCCGACGCTGCGTGGCCAACGGAGACTGCAACGCTGGACCTCGGTGTTCTTTCTCCCCATATTGCGAGCGTACATGCTTTAACTTTTATGGTCATTTTTCGCCGATGGATTCTACAGACGGGATGAACTCCCCAACGTGAGCAAGAGCTGGACATGGCAATGCAAGTCCACGATGTCTACAATATTTTCGTAGAACACCCAGAAAATCCGGTAAATTCTTTTCCGGTCAAAGTAGTTCAGGAAAAAACGGCTGAAAGATGGAAATTGATTTCTCAAAGTTAAGTGGAACAAACCCGATGGCCCATTTTAGGGTGATTCGGGGAACGGATTCCGCGCTGCCTTTCCACTAGCAGGCCCCTTGTTAACCGCGGTGCCCCTTTTTCACTGTGACTGGCTGCGCCTCTGCAGACAGTGTCCGCACATGCTCTTGACGAATTCCCGGAGATCGCTCCTGGTCAGCACAGCCGATGGGGGAGGGGGGAGAGAGGTTGTTCGCTTAGACCCGCATTTTGCAAAAAAAAGATTTAGCACCGTACATGGTTCTTGACAAAAAATTTGAAAACCAGTCACAACCATAACCATTTGGTAGTTCACAGTCATAACCATAACCACCCGCCGGCAACACCTCGGTAGGCCATGGATTAAGTACACTATTCTGTTTTTCCGTAACCTTGCAAAAGATATGCTTCATTTTATTTCGACGGGTTTTAATAATTTGTGGTCAACACGTGTCTTTCCTGACGTCTGGAAAGACGCCGTTTTTACTCCGCTTCCAAAACAGCGGAAAGACACCAACGACCAATCAAATTTTGTCCCACTGCACGTACAAGCTGTCTAGGAAAACCTTTTGAGCGGATGGTGGTGAAGCAAATCTTTTGGATTGTGGAACGAGACTGCCGCTTACAAAAAATCAACGTGGTTTTCGACACAACCGCAGCACAATAAACAATATCATATGACTTGAAAATGACATCAGACGCTCCTTTAAACATCGACACCACACAACTGCCGTCTTCCTGGATATTAGCTGAGACTATGACACAGTCTCTATACCTGCACTGATTTCCAAGCACCATCAGTTAGGGTTTAAAGGCCATTTAGCACATTACCTCACAGGATTTCTTTCCGGCATCAGACCATTCGTGCGAGAGGCAGATCCGCCGTTTCTGGTACTCGCCATCTAGAGAGCAGCCTCCCACAGGGAGCTGCATGTCATCAATTCTCTTCAACGTCATGTTAAATAAATTATTTGGCTTATTACCATGGGATATTTCCTCCCATATTTTGCGGACGAAAGCTCAATCTGGTGTCCGGACGCTGAGTATGACCATTCGCTGCCACGGCTCCCATCCGACCGGAACAAGGTGCAGCGGTGGTCAGAGCGGCTCGGGTTCCATTCCTCCACTTCCAAATATGCACTGATGATTTTCAGCAAAAATATGCGTGGTGCTCCCAGTTTTCGGCTGCAATTAGATGAACATTACCTTTCTTTCGTTTCGACTTTCATATTTCTTGGCATCGTACTTCACCCAAGATTATCGATGCGACGGCACGTGGAACATATTCGCCCCAAACGCCAAAAGACATCGAATTTCTTTAGATGCATTTCCGGGTCAAGATACGGTGCCGACCGTCAAACGATTGAACATGGCTCCGTGGTATACGCAGCAGGCAGCCAACACACTCCACCATACAAAACCACTGAAAACCACTATCCGCTATCTACTAAACCACTAAAAACCACTATCTACTAAACCACTAAAAACCACTCTCCGCTATCTACTACACCACTATCCACCATACAAAATATGCTCTTGAGAACTGCCCAAGGGGTTTTGCGTACTTCCCCGATTTCGGCGCTTGAAGTGGACAGCCACGTTATGCCTCTTGCCCTTCGCTGAATGGAACCATTGAGATACATAACAAAGTGCGACAAAATCCCAGTCACCCAGCATTTGACTCTAGACATATCTTACCCCACGTTCACAATAACTACGTAGGGCCGGCAGAACGTCGGTCAGGATTTACAATAGCATCTCGAACCACTGTCTACAGTACCACTCTCCAGTTTGCTTTACCGCCATCTTCCGTGCCACCTGCTTTAATACTACCACCATTGCAGTGAACCCTCGGAAACTTCGTTTCTTTTTGATGATCGAAACCTTTTTTCACAAGTTATGTTTTACAGATGTTTAATCGTCTAATTTCCAACAATCGAATTAGCAGCTTGGTTTATACCGATGGCTCCAAGGCCAATAACCACACCGGGCGTGCAGCAATTTGCAATGGACATTACCATAAAAGTTGTCGGCTGCCGGGTGGTTCTTCAGTATATTTGGTTGAATTATTTGCTCTTCACCTTGCGTTACAGCACATTCAACAACGCGTCCATACAACGAGGACTATAGTGATTTGTTCTGATTTGAAGACAGTTGTAAAACCTCTTATCGATGCAGACTTCACTCACCATCTCCTTGTAAACATCGTCAATCTCTATCATATATGGCACACGCAGAGCATGAGCATCAATTTTTTTATGGATTCCAGGACATAGAGACATCACGGGCAGTGAGCGGGCTGACCTACCAGCCAAGGGAGCTTTGACAGCCCCATACATTATGGAGATCCCTACAGCATCTACAAAGCATTCGATTCGCAGACGGACAAAACACTTTTGGCTAAGACAATGGACCGATACTACGAGAACACAACTTTATGATATCAAATTAGACATTACTCCTTGGCTATCAGCACATCGTAAAGACCGTTTGAAGGAGAAGGTGTTGGCCCGTCTACGAATCGGACGCACTACACTCGCACAACATATTTACATATACTTAAGTCCCTCGTCCTCAATGTCATCGTGTGCGATCGTCGATGCGATGATCCACTTTCGG